ATACCAATGTTGTGAAATCAAATAACTTCTACACGTATCAAAGAGAATTATATACTGTAGTAATAAATTTTTAATTTTTAATTTCTAGAGGCTTCATATCTAAAACCTTAATGCTGACTTTGAAACTTTGATTTACCCTAGTGTCAACGTTGTCACTTTGATTTACTATAGTGCTCACTATGAAAACTTTGATTTACTATAGTGATCAATATGAAAACTTTGATTTACTATAGTAATAACTTTGACACTATGAAAACTTTGATTTACTATAGTGATCAATATGAAAACTTTGATTTACTATAGTAATAACTTTGACATTATGAAAACTTTGATTCACTATAGTGATCACTATGAAAACTTTGATTTACTATAGTGATAACTTTGACACTATGAAAACTTTGAAATACTATAGTGATAACATTGACACTATAGTGATAACTTTGAAAACTTTGATTTACTTAAGTGATAACTTTGAAACTTTGATTTTCTTTAGTTTACTTTTAGTTAACTATGGTGAACTAAAGGATTTTTTGTTCGGGACTTATATCTATATTGATAAAAATGTACATTAAAAAAAGTATAATTAAATTGCTAAATCAAATGGCCTCTTATATATCTGCAAATAATATTTTATTTGATTACAAAATACATTTTTCATTGTATCAAATATAACTTGATCCGCCTCTCATTGCATACGGATATACTATATGACGTCACATTGTTAAGTGCATTGCGATCAGTGAATTGTTTATATTTTGCTGTATGGGATTTAACCAACGACAAAATGCATGCAATAGTAAGTATTGGTGTAGTTAAAAGCTATCCAATAGTTTTAAATAGTAAATCATTTCATTTTGTGGTAATTTGAGTAACTGATATTTTTGTGTGATGTCATAGTAAATATTTCCTTTGTAACAGGAAAGGAGAAAATGTATGGCTGGACCGGGAATCGAACCCGGGACTCCTGCATCACTAGTCAGGTGCTCTACCGACTGAGCTACCCAGGCCGATATCCACGGCCCAAACCATTACATTCCTCCCTCCTTAAATTGTCTTCGTCCTCGAAGACACAACCCAAGTTCTTATTAGCCCCTGGCAGGACTTTCATCTGCAAGTCCAGGGGTGGTCAACGGCACCAAATCTGTAACAGGAAAGGAGAAAATGTATGGCTGGACCGGGAATCGAACCCGGGACCCTTGCATCACTAGTCAGGTGCTCTACCGACTGAGCTACCCAGGCCGATATCCACGGCCCAAACCATTACACCTGTATAAATTAGGCCCCGTCTGCTTTTTGTAGCCTTAACTGTGCTGCATTTAATAAACATGTATGTTGTGAGAATATCAGTAAATAATGATGACAAGTAGGAAATGGCCGGGTTAATATTCACAAACTTTTAGGAGTTTTCAACATTTCAGACCAAGCAGACACAACTTCTTCCCTTTTTCCCCTTCCCAGCCCCGGGTCGTTTATCAATCTCTGAATGATTTTCATTTTTTAATTCTAGGAGGGTGGCTGACCCCAGGGGGTCATGAATAAAATTTCAAGCACGTTATAAGTGACACACTGTTGAAGCAGGTCATGCTGTGATCATTTCCAGTTTCAGGACGAGGATGACTTCAAGGTATACCATTTAATGCATAATGACTCAAGGGACAATAAGAGGTATTATATATGATTTTCTCCCATCTTTTTTGCCAATTCTTATAGTCATATTTGTATTTTTTCGTTATGTATATTAATATCCTTATAAGGGATATATTCAAATATAGGCATGTGTAATTTTTGTACATATTTGGTTAATTTGTTTGGCATTCTAATAAATGCCCATTTACGACAAATAATTTGTTGTTATATTTGCAAAAAACAGAGCAGAGTAGACTCATGGATGGAGAAAATAAATTATATTGAGGGAAGTTGAAGACGATGGTATAATATGTATATGATTAAGGGGAGAAGTTTTCAACCATTTTCAAGATATATGACCATTGAACTTTTAGGGGTTGGGAATGATCCATGACCTCCGGGGGTCATGACCCCATATATCCTATTCAGCGTGTCATAACACAAAGATGACTTAGGGGCTTTTTCCAAAGAGTGGGAATGACCCAAGGGACTTGCCTCTTTGACCCTTTTCAAACTATAGGCCCATAACCATTTTCATTTCTGATTATTTTACCCCGTTCTATACTAAACTTTTAAATTAATATATTCATAATGTACTTTATATTGCTACATAATTAAGGGAAGTTGACGATTGAAAAGTTCAAGTCATCACGTTTATCATAAAGCTTTGTTGTTAGGTACCATTTACGTCTTTTTCCAGTAAAATATCTAAATATGAAACAAATGTGTCAGAATCTGTGGTATCTTTTATTTCAAGCTCAATGGGATATATCGAGTCGATATATGAATGGAAGTAACTATTGTTAATTGAAAATACGTCGTCGATATATCTTAATGTTAAGTTGATGGCCACAGCAAGTGCTTTCTTCTTCTCATGTAGAAGTTTCTGAATAAATTCTGCTTCATATGAATACAAAAATAAGGCTGCTAATAACGGGGTACCCGTGGGAATTCCAGTAGATTGTTGGAAGACCTGGTCTCCAAAAACTACATAGATAGTGTCAATCAGAAACTCAGGCATCTTTTTTATATCAACTTCAGGGTACTTGTGTGTACAATCAGAATGCTTTTTAACAAAATGATTTTGAAATTACAATGTTTTATTTTTACATAAGTTTGTGTTATCAATTCCAAATATGACAGGAAAACAGGTGAATCGTTGATCGGGTATAGGTTTGGAAAGGGGTTTTCCTATCCAAACACTGATAAAAATTTGCACAACTTGTCATTTTGGCATCTAATTTTTTTAAGTTCATCAAAAAAACTATGCATTAAAATAATAATGTTTGTTGTTTTGACAATAAATTCAACAAGTTCCAATTATGGGCCAAAAATTAACCCCCCCTTTTTTTTTTACACAAATCTTTCAAAAATTCTCTTTAATAGAATTTACATTATTAAATTAGGTAGTAATAGGCTGGTAATGAAATATTTACATAAGAGGCCCACATGGACTGCATGTTTACCTGAGTATTTTATGCTTGATTTAATGTGTGCTTCTTCTCTGATTACCAGAATTTGAAGGAGAGCGCATTTAGACGCAAACACCTTAGTGCGGGTATTACTGTCTTACGACAGCATCTACTTATAAATGAAATGGCAATTAAAAATCAACAGCATTAAGTGAGAAAGAATTACTGTATATAGGAAGTTTTTCACCCTGTTTTTTTCCCACCCTTTTTGCTCTCGATCATCTCGAGAGAGCCAATTCAAAACGGGACAAATTCAAAGGAGACAGCATATAACTCTTCAACAAACTGTACCAGGGCGAATTTAAACTGGACAAAATTGTTTTCAAGCATGAAAGGGCAAAAATAGGATTTTACATAATATACCGGCTGCTGTAACGACTGAAGTGAGATATACAACATTTTAAGCAAACAGATCTCATCTATGAGGCCAGGTATTTTAATCTTAATATTGTGACACGCTTCAATAACCATTTGGTAATGCAAATGAGGTCATGGAAGTAATATACTATACCCAGGGAAGTTCATGGATTATACAGTTAATAAGTAAATCTGAAACATATCTTTTAATAACCCAGCAGATAAAAAGAGCTGAGTGGGCAAAATTGTGAACAATGGAACTTATGATTTACTTTAACTAATGTGGGCTGGACACAGTTGCATTGTATACAATTTAAATTTCCATTTCTTATTTAAAAATAACTTCCGTATAATGATCTAAAATAACATGAATATTCAAAGAATTCAATGACAATGACATTCTTCACAATAATACGTCATACATCTGTGTTTGTAAACAGGGCACGGTACGAGCTCTGTTATTGTTAATGTTTACGTTCTACCGGGTGTGTTCAATGTGTTTAGTCTGCACACATCACTGAGCACGGACTGACAATACTGGTGTGTTGGTTTTGATTTCACGCATTTCAACTCTGAATTTTCTGGATTATAGTTTTCAAATTTGTCATTAATACACAACAGAATTTCTACATTTCTGAAGTACAAAGTTTACTTCGTGAAAGTTGAAAGCTTTGTGTCAATCAAACGCGTCCCGAAATTCATAGTTTTAATAAAACACAGACTAAACATTTTCTAAACAGGCATTTATTATATTTCGGTGTAAAATGCTCGAGCAACATATAAGTCATCATATTATATTGAAAATTTTAGAAAAGATGACCTTCAAATCTGTGTCCAAGCCCCTTTAATGTTGATCTTTAATATCTGAATATTTTCTCCTTTATTTCTTAGGAAAACCACTTCTATTTGTCAAGACTTTTAAGGATGATTTCAAAGCCACCTGTATATAATCGTATATAATATTATGTAGTGTGCTTTTCAATCAATGAAACATACAATGTACATATCAATAATACAGTATTTAACGTTCTTAAACCTACTTTATAAGATTATTTACAGATATACGTATAAAGAGAAAATGTCTTTCTTTCTTTCTTTGTGCGGGAATTAAAGGTTGCAGCTATTGCAAAAAAAAATTGATAAACCTAGGTTTTGTAATTTTTTTTTGCAATGCGGGTTATGTTTTTTTTCCTGCAAAGCCGCAATGTAAATTCCCGTACAAGGAAACCAAGAAAAGGTTTTATTTTTTTAAAAATTGCATATTTTTACTTCTTAAAATACAACAAATTGTTAGGTATTAATCAATGATATGATTATGATATAAATAGTAGACAGTAGGCTAATTTGCTTTATTATACGCATGTATTAATGTTTTATAACATTTAAACATTTTCTGTACATTTTATACACTTCATTACTTTAATTCCAAACAATGCATTTATCAAATTGAAAAAGATGTAGGATGGGTAATAGATCATCAACAGTTTATTAAAGAAATAATAAGTTTTGTATACTTCACTCATGCTGTTTTATAACAGAATGGAATCACTGGAGATACTTGTACACTGTCAGTGTGTTGCTGTATTGACCCACATAGAGATTGTTCTCATTATCAACACACACACTAAGAGGAGTATACACCCCTTGTTGTTGTGTGAGTAATAGAGACAAGAACTGACCGTCCTGATCAAGGAGGTGAACAGTGTTACTGTACGTATCACACACCAGGATGTGACCGAGGACATCAGTACAGATTCCAAAAGGATGGAACTTTGACTCCTGACCTGTGTAGGAAAACCTGTGTTGTCCTGATTTATTCACCACCACTATTGCCTCATGATCTGATGTACAGATATCTCCATTGATATTTTCTGTGATGCAGTATGGATTTCTATACAGTCTTTGTCCTTTGCTATCCCTCTGTATGTTGTGAAGCTCTTTTCCTGTCTTGTTGTACCTGGTGACTTTAGCCTCTCCATCCTTCTCCATTCCAACCAATATGTCCCCGTTGATGCGGGAGGAGTGTACGCTCTTTGGTTCCCAGTCTCCTGTTTTAAGGTAGGTCCGGGCTTTCAAATATTTCTGTCAATGAAATATTTTTTTCTCATTTAAATAGCTAAACAACTTACAAGCTAACCAAAAAAAAACACAAAAAAAAAACAACAACAACTAAGACGTACATTTCCATGCAATTTGTCAAGGCGTACACACCCCTCAAAATTAAACAGCCAGATATAAATACAGAAAAGAATGATTTCACGTTTTATGAAGTTGTACTCTAGAACAAATCACAACAGATTTGTAATTTATGAAAATTGAAAATATTCGCTTGCCAAGAGAATCAATGACGATTTTCAATGAAAAATATATTTTTTTAAAAAATCATGTTAAATTTGCTCACGTCCTGCTGAAAAAGAAACACAAAATAACATAAACTACAAATTTCTGAAATTTAAATTGATTCCATCAATTTTTTTCTCTAAAAATATTTATCGTAAATAGTACGAGGGGTGTCCTAAAACGTAGACAAGTTTGTAGGAAACCAGGTGTCATAAAATACTGAAAATCTATGCATAGATTAAACAAACTATAACTAATAAATTCATGGACAAGAATTAAGCAGTTACACATTTGAACCTTATTTATCTAATGACATTTCGTTGTCTGGGTAAGAAATGGTCAGAGGATCCAAAAAATGCAATTGAAAATCGATACATAATGTTTAAAATCCTACAAAAAAGTATTTTCTATTCAAAATTTTGGGAAAATTAAAGGAAATAAAAATTCTTATTCTCGTATTCTTAACTACCTTTTGTTGTATATGCTATAATTGATTTACACCTTACATGTATAATGTTTTTATGCACCGGTTTGAAATCTGACTTGTTGAAAAATGGCGGCTGCATTGAACAGGCTTCATCCTGGACTGTGATCAAATATTCTGATCTTGAATTCACTCAAAACGCACAAGTCATAAATGCATGATACACATGAAAATGTTTTCTGGTCCTTATTAAAATACAAAAATGACGGTTTTTCAAAGTATGCAAAAAATCGAAAATAAAAAAGACACCAGCCGAAGAATTGGGCAAGAGTGATTCTTCAATTCCAAAAGAGAAGATAGATGAAAAACTCGTACTAAAATAGGATTTTTAAAATTTTGGATACATGTAGTTTGTTCTTATATTTAATGTTAAATTGTATCATAATTATTAAACTATTTTATAATTTAATTCCAGAATCGTTATAATGAAAGAATTTGATTCTAGTAATTCTTTTATTTTCCCCAAAAATCTTAATCGATGACGCTTATCTTTTTTTACGTCAGAAATTGCTCCGGGTGTTAGGGAACAATAACACTACGATTCTAATTATTCGAATTATTTTCAGTATTCATATTAAAACTTTGTAATTAATCAAGCAACAACACATTTTATCAATCCAGAAAATATTATAAAGATACGTTAATTTCTTTATAATATTAATAAATAAAACATTAATATTTTTTAAAGCGCCCTATATAATAAACATTACCTTAAGGCGCTTAACAATAAGATTATTCTAATATAAATGTTCAAGATGGTATTTAAAGGTTTTGAAAGAGAGAGATGCTTGAAAAGAAAAACAAGGAAAAAATATAATAAAAATAGTAAAATCGAAATATTAACATTACAAAAAAATGTTCCAGTATTAATAACATTAAAGAAAAAAATTACAAACAAGTAAGCTTAATATATTGATAAAATAAAATCACAGTACATTTATTTGAGAAAATTAAAAAAAAATCATACGGGTTAAGAACTCAGAAAATGCAATCTTAAAATGCTGTGTTTTTGCAGTCTTTTAAAACATCAACATTTTGCACAACTATCACATGTGTCGGAAGTTCATTTCACAAACTGGCAGCAGTCCAACTAAAGTCCGTTCTCCAAAAGTCTTAGTGCGAACTTTTGACACAAGTCTAATTTATGTTTCAGATCTTAGTAATCGGGCTTGCTTATAAACATCAATAAGTTCTTGTAGATAAATTGATATATCCAAACTGGGTAAGCACCAATATCTTAATTTGTGGTCGATACTGCAATGGAAGTCAGTGTAGTTCCACCAGAATCCGGCAAATATTATTCTGCGTCTTGCCACGGTATTCTGCACCTTCTTTAGGCGGTCCAAGGTGGTCCTGTTGATTCCAAACAGAAGATAGTTAGCATTATCGAACCTTGATTTGACCAGTGCGTTGACTCCGTACAGATGAGATGGTATCAGTTTACGGACTTTGGGGACAACCCCAAGGTTAACTATATACATGTATAACTATGTCTAAGGTTAACAAAAATGCATTTTTTAACATGGTTGATCACATAGATTTCGCATAACAATCTAGTGAACATATATATTTACCAACATTTTTGTGAAAGAATTTTACAGTTCTTTGCAATCTTTGACAAATATAAATTTAAAAAAATCAGGTACCGTCTTTAAATTAAGAAAAATATTACACAGGGCAATTAGTGTAAAAAAAAAGTAGAGAAAGGACTGTATTCGGTAATGACCAATATTTGTCCCCAAAATAAAACTTTGACGGAGAAATATATAATTATGTTCTAAAACAGGGGAATAAGCACTGAATATTTTCATAAGCCATGATGCCATATGTTAGATATGATGTCAGAAAGATGACGTAAATTCAAAATTTCCATGATTTATACAGAGAAAGTGTATATTACGTCGATAGTTTGAGTAAAAGTCGCCGAGTGCAGGTCTGCTCCAACTCAATCTTTTGATATAATGTGTAGAATGATAATATCAATGAAATATGTAAATATTGCTCTTGAGCAGGCCAGCGCTCTATAAATTTTATAGTAAAAATTGAACAGATTTTGTCCATTCTTTCTTTTTTCACAAAATCCGAATAGTTTGTGACGTCATAGAAACAAAAGTTGCCAATAATCTATTTCGAAACTATAATATTTTTTGTTAATTTAGATTTCTCACACAATATATACAATTCAGCACATTTCAAGAAATTTTCAAAATATGACTTTTGTGGGAGCAAAAATGTGCATATATAGCATAAAGTTCTTTGGTCTTAAAAGCACTAAGAAATCTGGGTATATGAGCTTGCCGCCCTAATTTTTTTACCTAGATTATTTATTGTGTTTGTATGTGCGTTTTATTTTTTGCTTCAACTCAATTTCAGGTCCCCTGAAAATGAAACATGCAGGGGAGACTGGTTCCTTTCCGATGATCCATGTATCTGTCTGCACAGCTAGATGCACGCACATTCATCTCTTTTTTTCATTACATGAAATTACAGAGACCGAACTTGTCGTGCTTAAATTCGATGCAAGCTATCCTTACTTTTACTCGTATTTGAAGCCGTATATGAAATCCGTAGGAATCATGGCTTCTTTTATCACGGCATTCGTGTATTGTTATTTATTATCTAAACAGTAATGTGTCTTTGGATAATTCGATAGGCAAAGTGATAACTTGAAGTTTAGATTCGGTGTATTAAATTAAAACCGGATGCATAAAACTTCAAACTTACCTTAAAGAATTCAATGATATTATTATCCTGGGTTTTTCTTCTGATGACTACCTTGTTTTTCTCTTTAATGATCAGATCCCCGTCCTGTGTCACTGTTTGGTAACCTTCCCATTCACCGCTTTCTTTTATAATCTGTACCTCATTTCCATGTAGATCTGTTTGGACAAGAGTACCATCAGAGTCACTGATCCAGAGTCTGTCTGATTGATCTAGTGATAAATGCCATACATCACTAACATCTGGTACATTGAACTCCCTGACCTTGGTAACAGAGGCAGATAGAGACATTGTTTGTTTCATGTCAAATTTCTTTCCGTCTTCTTTAATCTGTTTATGTGTAGGTTTCATTGCTGTATTGTAGACACTTTCAATTGGCCTTATATCTCTCTTCTCTGCTTTTGTGTCAGGGACATGTATTTTGCCAAGTAATTTGGTGACATCACTTTTGCTGTATTGACCAGCAGTAAATCCTGGTGTGACTGGTTTTATTGTCTCTGGTATTGATCGGACCTTTGGCTTCTTCTCACACACTAATTTCAAGGGTTCTGTTGAGAACAGGCATTTGTGGAGCTCTTTGCTTAGGCTATAAAGATATGTGTTGTAATCATTCAATGTCTTGTCTTGGGTACTTAGATCTTCTAACAGTGATTGCTCTATCTGGTCTACCTGCCTCATGTTCTCAGATATAACTGTATCCACCAGACTTTTCAGGGACTCACCTTCAGTCTTCATGGATGTTCTGATGTTGTCTATAGTGTGTTTGATTTCAACGGCATCTTGTTTTATTTCTTTCTGGAAATCCCTTGATATTGGTAGAAAAAACTCATGAATTTTGGAGACTTCCTCTTGAAAGAGCACAAACTTTTCTTCATAGATTGTTTCTAGATTAATAAGTGTATGCCTTTGGTGGTCTCCCTTTGTAGCACATTTGGAACATAATGGAACTTGGCATTCTTCACAGAGCATATCCATATTTTTAGTGGGGTGGATCTTGCATTTCTCCACAGGAAGTTGTCGTTTGCGTTGCTGATAAAGAACCACCTCATGATTCCTGTTTTCTGGACTTTTCAAATGTTCATCTCGGCATTGTTTGCACAATCTTTGATGACAAGGGTTGCAATAGAACTCACAGTTCCTTTCACAGTCTTCAATACCACACTCTAAAAAGTGTTGGGCTCTTTGAGGAATATCTGTTGTAGATAATGCCATCTGAAAAATAAGAAGTGTTCATATATTGAAAGAAAATCTGAGTAGTAGGCACTTCACATATTCATAATGTATATACTTATGAATAAAAGTATTGCAAAAACACTTGATTTTAGAAGACGGGATTTAATTCTACAAGTGAAAATCCAACTTATACCCATACCTCCCTTTCTAAGGAGGAAATTCTTCAAAATCGTATTTCAGTTTTGAATATTTTTAATATTCACAATAACCAAAATGAATTCGAATTACAATGTCTATACTGGATTCCGAAACTTCATAAAAATCCTTACAAACAAAGATACTTGGCGGGTTCCAGTAAATGTTCTACCAAGCTTCTTTCTTTACTCCTCATTTAGACATTAACAGTAGTGAAGAAGAAACTTCAAGAGTACTGTACAACAATATATTCGAAGACGTGGTGTAAATCAGATGTGAATACTAAAAAATTCCAGGGAACTTTTGGAACATTTGAAATCGCAAAATTTTACCAAAATCAACAACATAAAAAACTTACGTTTTTTCAATTTTATATACAACTATTCCCCACGATAAATTAAAGTCCAGACTTTCTTACATCCTCTTTCAATAAAAATAGAACTCTTAAATTTACTTATTTTTTCATTGGTCATTTGCAAAATTACTTTGTTAAAAACAATCTGATTGTACACAGAAGTACTCTGAAGTTGACATTAAAATGATGCTCGAGTTTTTGATTGAAAATATCTATGTGGTTTTTTGGAGACCAGGTCTTCCAACAATCTATTGGAATTTCCATGGGTACCAATTGCGCCCCACTATTAGCAGACCTTTTCTTGTATTCATATGAAGCAGAATTTGTTCAAAATCTGTTACATGAAAAGAAGAAAACACTTGCTGTGGCCTTCAACTCGACATTTAGATATATTGACGACGTATTGTCAATTAACAATGGTTATTTCCATTCTTATGTTGATACGATATATCCAATTGAGCTTGAAATAAAAAATACCATAGAGTCTGACACATCTGTTTGATATTTGGATATTTTACTAGAAAAAGAGTTTAATGGTAATCTAGCAACAAAGCTTTATGATAAACGTGATGACTTTAACTTTTCAATCGTCTACTTCCCTTACTTATGCAGCAATATACCCTTATCACCTGCATACGGGGTTTATATCTCTCAGTTGATTCGATACACCAGAGCATGCTATACGTATGAACAATATCGAAAACGAGGTAAGTTACTGACAAACAAGTTGATGAAACAAGAATATCAGCAATCTCGCTTAGAGTCATCATTTCGTAAGTTCTATGGTCGATACAATGACCTTGTCAGCAAATACAATATATCAGCAAGTCAAATGCTGACTGACTTTTTTTTTTCATAATAATTGTTAGGCCATTATTTACACACTGAATTGTCGACGGAGTTTTTCGTTATTTTCCGATCATGGCAAGGAGCAGACGGCGGGTGTGACCGGTCGGCAGTGGATGCTCTCTCCTCCATGGCACCTGATCCCACCTCTGATGTCTTAAAGGTCCGTGTTTGCTCTGCTCCTATTTTGTAATGTTTAATGGATTTTTGAGCTCAAATACTGTTCGTTACCTCCACATATTTCATTTTAAGGAATGTAGTTAAATTGTCATCAAGCTTCAACTAGCATATACTGTATACACGGAAATTTTCGACTCAGTATTATTTTCGCCTTTTTAGCCCTAGACCACAAGAGGACAAATTTAAGACGGGGCGAATTAACAGAAAACAGTATAATTTCTTAAACAGAGCCGTGACTAGACGAATTTAAAACGGAGCAAAAAAATTGTTTGCAAGTTTGAAAGGGCGAAAAAAAACACGGAACGAAAATAACCCTGTACAATGTTCCTCTGATTATACCCGCACTTTCTAAAGATAGTTCTACCGTCACAGTAGCTCAGTTGGTAGAGCGCTCGCTCCGTGATCGGAAGGTCGTGTGTTCGAATCATGGCTGCGACTCACCTAAGTCCATAAAAAATAGATAGCAACTATTCCTTCGCCAAGCGCTCGACACTTTGAAGTGAAAGTGCAGGTCTTTTGGATAAGACCTTAAAAGTCGAGACCCCGTGTCACGGTAGGCGTTGGCACGATAAAGAACCCTCACTGCTCAATGGCCCTGTGTGCCGAGTAAAGGTCTAAATTTGAAGCCCTTCAGTAGTATATGGTGACGTCTCTATGTGAGTGAAAAATTCTCGAACGGGACGTAAAACAACATACAATCAATCAATCAATCTAAAGAAAGTTCGGGCATATTGTTGTTACCTTGGTCCGTCCGGCCGACTGTCTGTCACACTATCATCTTCCTCAAACTTCTCTTTTATCTTAAGAATAACCAATTAATCTTTTGGAATATGATAGGTGGTGTCCTTTAAATGTGCAATAAAGTTTTGGAATTCTAAATATTACCTCAGGGGCAAAACGGGGGCCCAAAAATGATGTTTTTCCTACAAAAACCTGGTTCCCAAAACTCCTCTTACATCTTATGCGGAAGCCTAATCATCTTTTGGAAGATGATTGGTGGTGTCCTGTAGATGTGCAATAAGGTTTCGGAATTTTCATTTTCACCTTGGGGTTAATTAGGGGTTAAAACTGACGTTTTTCATACTATGACCTGCTTCCAAGAACTCCCCTTACATATTACGCAGTAGCCTTATCATCTTTTGAAAGAGGTAATTGGTGGTGTCCTATAGATATGAAATAAAGTTTCGGAATTTTCATTTTTACCGTGGGATTCAATTGGGAGTCAAAAATGATATTTTTTCTATGACCTGCTTCCCAGAACTCTATTATATTTTATGCAGGAGTCTTATCATCTTTTGAACATTTTATGCAGGAGCCTAATCATCTTTTGAAAGATAATTGCTTGTGTCCTATAGATGTGTAATAAGTTATTTTTAAGTGTCCCATGGATGTGTAATAATTTTTTTTACTGTATTGTTTGAAGACCAAAAGCCCTGGTTCCCAGACCTCCCCATATATTTTGCGCAGTAGCCTAATCAGCTTTTGGAAGATGATTGCTGGTGTCCTGTTGATGTGCAGTAAGGTTTCGGAATTTTCATTTTCCCCCTAAGGGTCATGTGGGGGTCGAAAAATGAGTTTTTTTTAAATACAAAACCTCTCTGGTTCCCAGATATCCTATTACATTTTATGCAGTAGCCTAATCATCTTTTGAAAGATGATTGGTTGTGTCCTAAAGATTTTCAATAAGGTTTCCGAATTTTCATTTTCACCTTCGGGTTAAATGGGGGTCGGAAAATGACGTTTTTCATACAAAACACCCTGGTTACCAGAACTCCTATTACATTTTACGCAGTAGCCAAATCATCTTTTAGAGATTATTGGTGGTGTCCTGTTGATGTGCAATAAGATTTCGGAATTATTATTTTCACTTTGGGAGTCAAATGGGGGTTGAAAAATTACGTGTTTTGTACGAAAAGACCTTGGTTCCAAGAACTTCTCTTATATTTTATGCAGTAGCCTAATCATCTACATTTATTTGAAAATGATTGGTGGTGTCCTGTAGATGTGCAATAATGTTTCGGAATTTTCATTTTCACCCTGGGGAGTCAAATGGGTGTCGAAAAATGCCTTCTTTTTTATGCAAAAAAGACCCTGGTTCCCAGAACTCTCTTACATTTTATGCAGTAGCCTAATCATCTTTTGGAAGATGATTGATGGCGTCCTGTAGATATGCAATAAGGTTTCGGAATTTTCATTTTCATCTTGGGGATTAAATAGGGGTTTTTCTGCATTTATAATCTACTTTTAGTAACCACGGCAACATAATTCATGGAAATCAAAATCTAATAAACATTATATTACATTTATGTACATTATTATAGGCTGATTGTGCATAAAGTCGTTGAAATCGAACCAAAACTCTAGGAAGAGTAGCGGTTTTTTCTGCATTTTTAATCTACTTTTAGTAACCATGGCAACATCACTCATGGAAATCAAAAACTAATAAACATTATTTCACATGTATGTACATTATTATAGGATGATTGTACACAAAGTCGTTGAAATCGAACCAAAACTCTAGAAAGAAAAGCGGTTTGAATGAATTTCACAAATATATCTTTTTTTTACTAACCATGGCAACTGTGTTCAAGGAAATCAAAAATTGATATACAGAATTATGTATCTTAGTATGGTGTACATGTACTTGTTATGCAAGTATTAATGAAATTCAGGGTCAAAGCTGTCGGAGGAGTAGAGTTTAGAACTATGTTATGAAGTTTTCACATTATAAGTTTAATTTTTACTTGCCCAATGGTTCTTGAGAAGATTTTTGAAGATTTATTCCTATACATTCCCATGTAAAACTTTGATATTGTGGCCCTACCCTTCCCATGGAGGTCAGGATTTGGACAAATTAAATTTGAATAAACACTATTTGATGAAGTTTCACAAAAGTTGACACTTTTTGTAGAGGCTCATGTATGATAATTATACCATGAGAGGTATGTTTTCCTCAGGCTGTCTCAACAAATTAAATCAGTTGAGGTTTCAGTGAGTTGTTTTCAACATAATTTAATTCATTTTTGCATACTTAAACACAGTCGTGTATTTTCCAAGTAATTATAAAAAAGAACTTACATGTCTTGAGTAATAAGCGTTCCATGTTACATTTGTAACAAATTATGAAAAGGACTTCTGGCTGTGTCCTTTTGTAATTAGATGTAGATAAAAGTCATGATCGTGAGTAACCTTTTTTTTTTTTTTTACATATCTGGGAGGGATATCATTCTAGCTGCAGTATGAATTACACAGTTAAAATCCTCAATAAAAAAAAAACTTTGCTTATATCATTCCATTTTAATTTTTGGTTCAAGTAGATCGATGTCAGAAAGAGAGAAAGAAAAGGAAAGAGAGAAAATACCTTGGTTCATAGTCTTGCGCAAAACAAAAAACTTGTGATAGCAAGTGCTCGGAAAGAGCTACAATATTTTAAAAGTAATTTTTTCATGCCTTAATATTATTT